CAATTTTTGGTTCTTTCTTTAATAAATAAATAAATATATATATATATATATATATATATATATATTTATGTTAGTATTTAATATTTGGAGTTAAGTCAATCATAGACTCTATGTGTTTTAGTATATATGTCGGTGCATTATGATGTTAAGACTTTGAACTTGTTGAATTATTGAAAARAGACGAAAATCAACTTTTCAAGCAAGAGGACGAGGCCTATTCGAGACCAGAATTTACCAAACGATTTAAGATCGGCCTCTACAATGACGAAACTTTGTGCACCTTAAGTTACTTTCACACACCATCTTAATCTACAATTAAACCTATCTTTTTTATCAAACCGAAAGTCTATTTACAAGCTACAATTCATTTTGAATAAATTGTAACACCCTAAAATTTGTTAAATTGAATGATACGTGGTTTGGTAGAATTATGTAGGTTTATCAAGTAAATCCACGTAGGTTTAGCATATGTAATTGTAAGTTATTATATGTCCACGACACCTGTCACACAGTAATACCGCTAAAGAGTATGTACACCTATAGGGTCGCACAAAAAGAATAAGTTTGCCTCAATTTGTAGAAACCCAAGTTAAATCAATAAGAAGGCAGTTAAAACGTTGATGTATTTCAGACAATGTCTCAGTCTTTCCACAGACAAAGCTTTCATATTGTCTTACTAAATTGATCTTCCTTGATTCTTGAACCTGAGAGGTTCCTTCATATTGAACATATAAAGTGTCCCACATGGCTTTGGAGGTTATGAGTTTCATCATAGAGTGACAAACCTCATCATGAAGAGACATAACTATTATAGACCTGACACGAGTATCTATAGCTATCTATTTCTTGTCTTCATCGCTCCATTGATGATGGAGCTTTGGAATCTGTCGTTCAGGAATCGCGGCAGTCGTAGCTGTTTTAGAAACAGCCGGAGAAATAGAATATGGAACATATGGTCCATTTTCTATGTAGTGTGAAATTTCAGGATCCACACCTTCCAGAAAGAGGGACATCCGATTTTYCCAGAGACTAAAGTTGTCTCGGATAAATTGGGGAGGTTTGGCAAGATAGTCATTATCTTGAAAATGTGTGTTTGTGTTTTGTAAAGCCATTTAAAAGCAATAAAATTATCTAAAGAAAGAGATAATATATTGCAGAAAACAACTAAACATCTAGAAAAAAAATAAAACACTGCTCTAATACCACTTGTTGATCCCGTTGGGGTCTACAAGATGTGTTTAACAGTTTGTAGAAGGGGGGATGAATACAAACATAGTAAACTTTTCAAATTTAAAATATATATATTGATAGAGAAAAATCAATACAGATTTTACAAGAATGTACGCGGAAAGATAAGGTATATAAAACCTATCTAAACAATCTAAAGTTACACACTAATTCTTAGCAAATAAAGAAAAGATTTATTGTAAAAGACTTAGAAGAAAGTAAGTTATATCTAGGAGAGAACTGTTTAGAATACAACAAAGAGATTCTAACTTGCTTTTGAAGATGAGTGTATTTGTTCTTAAATGTGTGTGTTCTTTTACTTAAGCATAAGTAAGAGTAAGGAGTAGAAGTATCTTTGCATGGAGATATAACACATCTATTTATACCCATTGCATTAAATGCACATTTAATGCAATGTGATAGGGTTAGAACGCGTGTTAAGCCTTTAGAGAAAGACTTGTCATTTGCTACAGTGAATAGTACAAACCCTATTCATGAGCAGACATCCTTTCACAAAGTTGGTGAGTAATAAAATCAACTAATCGGCTCCGTACCGTACAATCTTTTAGAAAGGGGTATGGGATTGTCCTTTGTGTGTATGAGGACAAGACAAAAACAATCGTGCTCAACAAGCTTCTTATGATAGCTGAATGTTGGAATAACCTGAAGGTCTCTTCAGCATTCACTGAGGGTTGGGCAGTCTTCACACATATGTAGACAAGGTTGTAATCACTAAATACCGCTTCAGATCACGTACTCGCCATTCTCAAATCTTCAGTTTCAGTCTTCAACTTTCGATGAATGTTTCTTTGGTGTGAGTTTTGTCTTCTTGAAGTATCGTCGTCGCTGATTAGATTTACATTACAAGTTCTTCAGTGATCACTGAAGAGACTCAGTGATTATCGTTGGAACTGAAAACAGAAACATAAATACTTCGTATAAGATAAAATGGATTATCACCAAATCAATTAGAGAGAGGATCAACAAGCTTTGGGGTAGATCTCTGAACGGGTCCACTAATCTTTTTACCAGATGTAGATGGTTGACAAGATAAAGGTTTAGGAGAGGCCTTCTTCATTTGGTTTTCTTGGCCTTTTGAGAAATATTAGCAACGGATTTACCCTTTTTAAGAATTTAATTAGAACTCTTAGGATTTTCCTCAATAATAGGTTTAGACTCGGATATGGTGGAACATTGAGTGGAAGATGTGTCAAGGATGGAAGAGACAAGCATTCCAAACTTTAGCATGGATCTGTCACTGACATGTTCTTCCTAGTCTGAAGAATATCCAAGGCCACCTTTAACCTTAGAGGGTATTTGAGTGTTTATGATCTCATTAGCCTTAATCGAGGCTTTACACCATCCTTCGATGGTAGCCTTTTCAGCTTTGAATTCATCTATAGCTTGTTCACGCTTAGTGATAGCTTGCTCGAGTTCAATGTTGATTGCTTGATTTACAATGAGTTGATCTTTAAAATTTTCTTTAATCTTATCAAGTCCTTTGATTTTTGAATGACATTTTTCAAGTTGTTATTGTAAATCAAGATTTACCTTTACAACTTTGGATTTCCAGCTTTGAATTTTATTGAATAATGAGATGAGTTATTGAGTTATTGACTTGATTTTGACTCGGATGAGATTTGGGGAAATTTGTCCCGTTTAAATTGCTCAATGTTGAGTTTTTGACGTGATTTGCATTTATTGTATATTTATTTGGAAATTACATAAACATAAGAGTCTGTTGTGAATCAAGTAATTTAGATTGTAATACTATAGATCCACAGGGATAAGAGTTTGTTGTGTTTGGTAAATAGGGAGTTTTGATGTTTTGACTTTAGGCCAGTGTTTAAGTAGGTATTGTAGCCGTTGTGGTATTGCGGAGGTGAACTCAAATGAGTCAGACTCTGGAACCCTTGTTTTGTGGCTTCGACCTAGTCGAGTAGCTAAGGTCACGAATCTTTCAGTGAAACTCTAAATAGTAGGCACTAAAATTATTGAGTCTTGAAGTTTTACCCGGAATAGTAGGCATTAAGAACCATAAGTGTGTGTCCACAATATCACTGATCAACCTTCAATAATCTTCACATCAATGGCAGATTCTTAGATTTAACAATAAGAACATCAAGAACACTTGAGAGGAAAAGTCAATATCTTCAAACTCAGTCAAACCTCTATTATTTATGAATATTACAATGAAGCTCTCTTACAATCTAATTACAAAGACTTAACCATATTTATATGGTCAACCTGTCTAAACAAAGTCAAAGTCAAACATCTATAAGAAAGTCAAATACGCTGACTTTTACAATTATAGACTATTTATAAACTTTCAAGACGAATACAATTAATACTGATTTCTCAGTCCTAATAATAAGCCTTGAGGTGTTATCCGATGGGGTAGACACTAAGGATATGAGCCTTGAGGTGAAACTTGAATGAGTAGGCACAAAGCTCAATTGAATCTTGGGGTGATACTTGATAACATTGTTGTAGGATTTACTTTGTGCTTACCACATTCAAAGGATATGGGTATCCCCCGTAACGGAAAGATGTTTTTTTGGATAGCCTATTATCTATGTTTCTGGTGATGTCTTTGGATAATGTATTATCCATGTTTTCGGTGTTGTTTTCGCATAGTGCATTATCAATATTTTTGGTGTTGTTTTTGGGCTATGGAGTGTATCCACAATTTATGGTTTTGGTATACTAGACCTTATCATAGTTTTGGTGTTTTAGATGATAGAGTTTTATCCATATTTCAAGTATTTGAATAATATGATGTATTCACGTTTTGAGTTTTGGTTTATGATTTAAATGAGTCACTACAACAAAATTGAGTTTATAGGACACCACCCATATTTAAGCACCTTAATACACTGTTTTATAAAACTTGATTTATCGGACCAAAAAATAAAGCGTCATATTTAAAGACGTCGTAAATAAGTTTATAAGATGCTTTTGAAGTCTTAACAAGTATTTTAGGACAATTTTAATACAAAACATGCATTAACAATATTACAAGACATGGTTTGAAAATGTATCCTATAAAACCAAGTGTCATATAAAGAGATGGCAAAAATGTCCTATAAATAGGCTAATGTGCCGCTTTATATTAAAAGTGTTCTAAAAAACTTGTTAAACGTCAAAATAATTCTATAAACTTATTACAACGTCTTTGGATAAAACGTTTATTTTTTTGGTCCTATAAATTAAGTTTTTATAAAAAAAAAGTCTAGAAATGGGTGGCATTGTATTAACCAAATTTTCTTATACTGAGTGCTTCAATTAATGAGTTTTGAACATGAAAAGATTAGAATTTGGAAAAGATGTTGAATTTATATTAGATACATTTCATTTTTGGATGTTGTAAGTTAAATTGCATACTTTCAATTTTGTTGTTTTATATTAGATACATTTCATTTTTGGATGTTGTAAGTTAAATTGCATACTTTCAATTTTGTTGTTTTATATTAAAGATAAAATTTAGCAAGTGTTATGTCTCACACTTTTTCTTCTAATAACACCTTGAAGAGCTAATTACTCACTAAAAAAAAAATTGGTTAATCGTGATAGACTTCCGTAAATGGAATAGTATGGCAGTTTTTCAAGCTTTGACTTTTCAAAGTCAAACTAAATCGACAATAGTCAACTTAAATACTAAGTCAAAGTAAACGCTCTCATTTTTCGCCCAACCCACCTTCTCATGTCTCCACGTTTTTACACACACAAACACACACTATAAATCCACCTCCACAACCCCACTGGTTGTATCATAGAAACAATCATGAAAATATTTTCATTCCTCATCGTCATCGGAGTACTTTCCGCCGGAATACTCCAAATCGCCGCCCAGAACTGCGGCTGTAGTCCAGACTTGTGTTGTAGCAGGTTCGGTTATTGTGGCAGCGACGACGCATACTGTGGCGCCGGGTGCCAGGAAGGGCCGTGTTTCGGACCTCCTCCGACGAATAACGTATCGGTTGGTAGCATCGTGACAGATGAGTTCTTCAATGCAATCGTGGAGCAATCGGACGGTGGTTGTGAAGGGAGAGGGTTTTACTCACGCGCCGCCTTCCTTGATGCCGTCGGAAACTATCCACAGTTCGGTAGAGTTGGTTCCGAACAAGATTCCAGGAGGGAGATTGCAGCTTTCTTCGCACACGTCACTCATGAAACTGGACGTAAGTTTTTTGGCCTAACATTATTCAAAAAGAACAATGATTTTATTTAAATACAAATTAAATTAGAATATGAGGAATCAACCTAAAATATATTAGTGTTTATTGCAATATATAAACGAAACAAATTCAATATATTTTATTTGAGGCGATGCTTATAAAATATAAGATGTACAAATAACAAAACGACTGCTTTTTTAAAGATTATATATTTATAAAAAATAGTGTGAAAAAGAGAGATAAAGACAAAGAAGCAGAACCATTGGTAAAGCATGGCTTCTGTTTTGGCGTGTTATGGTGCGTTACAATAAATTTTTATTAATTTTTAAAAATATATAATATAAGAGATAAATGATAATTATGTATCTTACTTAAGACTTGTAAATAAACATTAGAAGGAAACATAAAAACTGAAATCCTAAATCGGTGAATCTTTACTCTCATTCTCATGCATCGATAGTCGAACATGAATTCTTTGAAGATTAAAAAAACAATGAGTAGAGACTCAAGAGATCTAATCCCGATTTTACATTCTTGATATCATTTGTTTATAAGTTTGATATATATATATATATATATATATATATATATTTTGATATAAATGGTTCTTCTTTCTTTTTCAGTTTTATAACTTTACATGAATTTCAATTGTTCTATGATATTATTCAAAACACTAACAAACACAAGTGTGTGTATGTGTGTATATACATACATACAAATACGTACGCCTATGCCGCTTTAGGGCATGCATTGAAAAACATTGTGTCGTCGTTGAAAATTGTAAGGCTTGAGATTTAACCCCGCTGCTACCTACGCCACATCTCTCATCATTTAGAACCTTGATTTTTTTAATTAATTAAATGACAAATTTACTTTGATAATAGAGGAAATAATGAAATTTTCCATCTCATGATTAATAATAAAATCAAAAAGTAAACATTTTAATTTATATTTGAAAAAGTGAAAAACATGTGGGTTATATTTTTGAAAATTTCAAAACTATTGGATACTTATTAAGTTTTAATTTATATATATAAACAGATTTTTGCTATATTGAAGAAATAAACGGTCCTTCAAGAGATTATTGCGACGAAGGTAATACTCAGTTTCCTTGTAACCCTAGCAAGGGTTACTACGGGAGAGGTCCGATCCAACTCTCATGGAATTACAACTACGGTCCTGCCGGAAGGAGCATTGGGTTCGATGGACTAAACAATCCTGAAATTGTGGCTACTGATCCACGCATCTCCTTTCAAACTGCATTGTGGTTTTGGATGAACAATGTTCATTCACTCCTAATTTCGGGCCAAGGGTTTGGAGCCACAATCCGTGCTATTAATGGTGGCGAATGCGATGGTGGCAACCCGGCCACCGTAAGTTCTCGTGTTGGGTACTACACTGAATATTGTAACCAACTTGGTGTTGCACCAGGCGATAATCTTCGGTGTTAGTCGACTTGTAACTATGTTTTTCGTGCCTATAGATACAACATTGAAGAACAAACTTGGTGTATCCACTTAGAAATTCGATATCTGTATTTCTTTTTGTATCTCACGAATGTTCAACGTGTAATATATTTATCTATATTCTATGTATGTTAAATCGATGTACATCTATGCACATCTACAATTATGTATCTGTATGTTATACATGAGATAGTTACTTTTTTACTAACCGCTAAAAATCTAGTATTTTGAATTGATAGAGGTAAAAAAAGTCAATGAACCAACAACTGAAATTGTGGCCAAAGTTCAATGGGTATAAATCCTCTGTTCCATCCTTTGAGGTCCGGTCTATTTGCTAAAAAGTTCGACCTAATTGAGCCCCATTTAGTTTTAGTTTTTATTATTTTTAAAAATCTATTATCATGAAAGGAGATCCGTACTCTGGTCCTGGACTAAGGGTCGTTTACCAAACACTTACTCGGTAAGTGCTTACCGGTAAAATTTAACATTATTATTTACTTATCGGATAAGATTTTAATTCATCAAAACGACATTGTATGCAACAATTCATCCGGCAAACATTTACCGTGTAAGAGTCGTCGCCCTCATTTACCGGGTAAGACTTGTGGTCCTTGTCTCGCTCTTACCGGGTAAGATTCTTAGTTCTTAGCATATACATCCGATAAGATAATGTGACTTGTCAAAGACCTTCCAGCCTAGTGGTAAAGGCTTGGGCATGGCATAGTCATGAACCCGAGTTCGAGCCCTGGGAGGGGAGTGTTGGCGACATTTAAGTGGGGCCATGTTTAGCCTCCAAATTTGCCGGGGATTAGTCGGGCTTTGGCCCGGACACCCTTACAAAAAAAAAAAAAAGATAATGTGACTTGGTAAGCACTTACCCGGGTAAGTGTTTGTTAAACGGCCCCTAAGCCTAATATATCATCATTGACCGGTTCTTTTTTGACCGAACCTTGGTCTAAAATTCTTAATAAAATCATATCGTAATTAATCCTTATAAACTAGGTTCTTTCATGTTAGATTCTCACTTTTTATTTCAGATTCGATTCTCATTCCTACTATCACGTTCTACTAGAATTGCTTCAATACTTTTAAATACGGAAAGAAAATGTGTCTGTAACTTTTATACCACGTCGTAGAGATGCTTTTTAGGTTTAGAGTAAATAATAATTTTACAAGAAATTTACCATGGGATGAAGGGTAGAAAGTATCAAAAACTCATAATTAGGGGTTGTATTTATAAATTAAATATTTCACTCAAAATTTTGGTATGAGTGGTGTTTGTGATGCATGTAACTTAAAAGTCTAAATCGTAAACCAAACTGCATAAGGGGTCGTTTATTAAACATTTATTCAATAAACATTTATCATTAAAATTTAACACTATCTTTTACATATCGGGTAAGATTTTAGTCCATCAAAACGGTATCGTATGCAACATTTTACCCGGTAAGCGCTTACCGTGGTAAGAGTTGTCGCCCTCACTTACCGAGTAAGACTCTTGTTACTTGTCTTGCTCTTACCGGGTAAGATTGTTGGTCGTTACCATATTGTAAGGGAATGTGACTTGGTGTTCATTTACCCGAGTAAATGTTTGGTAAACGGCCCCTAAGTTGGTTGGTGTTTGTTTGCTACATATTAGAAACTAAAATACTGATGCATTATTTCATTATGTACATAATAGAAAACCAGTTATCATCGACGAACATCAGCGAGGAAAAAAATCCCTCGCAGATCAGCGAGGGATCAACGACCACCACAGCCGCGCCGTCGCCGACCAGCACCACCGTCCCCATTTCGACCAGCACCGCCGTCCCCGTCGCCACCACAACCGTCCCCTTGCAGTTAAGGTACGATTTCGCCGTCCCCATTTGTCTTCTTCTTTGACTACTTTTTCGTTTGGAAGGGTGTTATTGTTTTCAATATTCAGTTTTAAACATTTACATGCTTTCTTTCTTTTGGAAATCATTTGTTTGATGTTATTATGTTTGCTGTGAATATTCAGTTTTAAACATTATGTTTAGATGAGCAAGAGGTGAAATATTCAGTTTATTTGTTCGAAAGGTGTTACTGTTTGAAATCATTATGTTTACTGTTTGGAATGGTGTCGGCATCTTGATGTTATTATGTTTACTATCACCGCAAATCATTTACATCTACTTACTGTTTGGAAGGGTGTTACTGTTTTTGTTGATCCGCTCTCTCAGTGATTTGATGATAATCCATTTTATCTTTCACGTTGTATTTGTGTTTTTGTATTTCCAGCTCCAACGATTTTCACTGAGTATGTTCAGTGATCGCTGAAGAACTTGCATTGTAAATCTATCAGAGACAACAATACTTCAAGAAGACAACACTCACACCAAAGAACCTTCAGCAAACGTCGAAGACTGAAACTGAAAATTAGAGACCGGCGAGTACGTGATTAGAAGCGGTATTCAGTGATTACAAGCCTGTCTACATATGTGTGAAGACTGCTCAACCTTCAACGAATGATGATGAGACCTTCAGGTCATTCCAGCATTCAGCGATCAAAGGAAGCTTGCTTAGCACGATTGTTGTTGTCTTGTCCTTTGTGTGTTCCTTATGCATACAAAGGACAAAACCCATACCCTTACAAAAGTTAGTACTGTACGGAGCCGACTAGTCGACTCTTTGTCCATCAACTTTAGGTAAGGATGTCTGCTCATGAATAGTGTTTTTGTACTATTCACTGTAGCAAAGGATAAGCCTTCCTCTTAAGGCTTGACACGCACTCTAAACCTACCATTTTGCATTAAATAGACATTTAATGCACTGGGTATAAATAGAAGTGTTTCTTCCCCATGCAGAGAGCGCACATTTCTCTCTCTAACCTAATTCTTAGTTCAAGCACCTTCTAGCTTAAGTAAATGATCTTTCTCTTAGCAACCTCTTTTCTTGTAATTGCTAAAGCTTTGTGTGTAATCAAAGATTGTTTAGATAGGTTTTTTATTACCTTATCTTTCCGCAAATAATCTTGTAAAATATGTATTGATCTTCTCTATCAATATATATTTTAAATTTGAAAATATTGTGTTTGTATTCATCCCCCCCCCCCTTCTACGAACTGTTTCTCTTCTTGTAGACCCTTACGGGACCAACTAGTGGTATCAGAGTAGTGTTTTATCTCTTTCCTTGTGTTTGGCTATTTTTCTGTACTAATCTCTTCTTTGATAACTTTACTGCTTACAAATGACTTTACAAATTGCAAACACACACACACACAAAAGATAATGGCTCTCTTGCTAAACCTCCCCGGTTTGTCCGTGACAACTTTAGTCTCTAGAAGAACCGGATGTCCCTCTTTCTGGAAGGTGTGGATCCTGAAATTTCACATTACATAGAAAATGGACCATATATTCCATTTGCTATTGCTTCGGCTATTCCAGCAACAGCTACGACTGCCGCGATTCCTAAACGGCAGATTCCAAAGCTTCCACATCAGTGGAGCGATGAAGAAAAGAGAAGATAGCTATAGACACGCGTGCTCGGTCTATAATAGCTATGTCTCTTCCTGATGAGATCTATCACTCAGTGATGAAACTCAAATCTTCTAAATCCATTTGGGATACACTTTGTGTCCAATATGAAGGAACCACTCAGGTTCAAGAGACTTGAAAGATCAATCTAGTAAGACAGTATGAAAGCTTTCTCTGTGGAAAGTCTAAGACGCTGTCTGAAGTACATCGAAGATTTAATTGCCTTTTTATTGATCTTAGGGCTGTCGACAGGGAATATTCTAATTCTGAAACCTTGACAAAGTTTCTAGAATGCCTTCCTGAGTCTTGGGACACCTTTTCCATTTGTCTCAAGATGTCAAATGACATGTCCACTTTTTCTTTTTCTACCTTATACGGGATTCTGCTTAACCATGAGCAATCTCGTCAACTGAAAATAAATCTTGTAAAAGAATCCAGGAAAATGAAAAGCTCTCCTTTAGCTTTGATCTCTGAAGCTTTTTCAGTTGAAACTTCTGCCCCTTTTATTTCTTCTCTTCCTCCCGTGGTCATCACGGAGATAGATTCTTCTGAGGACATTCCAGAATCTGATTTAACAGATTTTGATGAGTCCCTGACACTCCTGACTAAGTCATTTAGGAGGTTCGTCAGCAAGAGCAATTTCCACAGATCTCCTCAGCTATCCTTCAGGGAGAAGCCAAAGTCTGAAAGAATAGACAAGGCTTCAGCTCTCTGCTACAACTGTCACCGGCCCGGACATTTTGCAGGTGAATGTAGATCAAAGTAGATTGTGACGCCATCTTCTAAAGCTTCCTCCTCCTTCAGGACAAAGATGAAAAATACTTAAAACTGAAGAAGAAATACAAGAAGATGAAGAACAACAAGCGAAAGGCTAAAGGCCTTATTGCTGAAGAGCATGACTGGGCTGAATCATCTGATGAATCATCTTCTGACGAATAGGATAAAGCCTACGTCTGCTTGATGGCCATTGATGCTGATGAAGGATCTTCTGAAGCATCTACCTCTTCTGAGCCATCTTCTTCTTCTACTCAGATATGCTTCCTGAATGAACCCTTTTCTAGTCTTTTTGCACTAGATACGCTGACGGTTGACCTTTACAATGCCCTCAATGGCAAATCAAAAGCTGAGATGCTTAACGTTGATCTTCAAGAGCAATTGAAGATTTGTCATTCTAATATCAAAGAATTGACCTCTGTTGAGGAAAATCTTAAAGATCAGGTTATTGTAAACCAAACCATTACTGTTGAACGTGAGAAAGCTGTCGCTGAGCGTGAGCGAGCAATCGCTAAACTCAAGGCTGAGAAAGCTACCATTGAAGGGTGGTGCAAAGCTTCCATCAAGGCCTCTGAGATCATTAACGCTCAGATCCCGGCCAAGAAAACGACTGGTCTAGGATTCTCCTATGACCAGGAAGAGTGTGTTACAGATAGGTCCATGCTTAAATTTGGTACCTTTGTCTCTTCTATCCCTAACACTTCTTCCTCTCAGTCCTCTTCTTTTACTGAGAGTCATCTTGAAGGAACTCCTTTGAGTTCTGGGTGCAAAGACAAAGGTAAATCCACTGTTACAGCATCCCATCCTAAGAAGTCTAACAAGTCTAATAGATCTAAATCTATTCCTTCAACTTGTAAAACTTCTTCTTCCTCTGGGACTAGGAAATCTGAAT